CCTTCACCCCAAGGGGTGACAGCTCCCGGGAGCTTGGAGGGCAGCCAGGATCTGGTGCATTACACACTCCCTGCAGTTTCAGGATTGAAGCTGTCGCCCCATCTGGCTGGTGGAATTGTGCCCCCTTTTCGGGGACCGCGCATGGCCCAGCCACCTCCTCTGGGCTGGCAGCCTTGGTTTCCTCAGGGCCAGCGCCGAAGCTCCATCGGTAGGTGCTGAGCCTCCCCCACCTTTTGTCCTTGCCTCTCCTCTGGCCTAGCCGCCCGCGAAACCCGAGAGCCCCTTTCTTTCCCGGGGCCGCGTTTAGCCTGAGACCAGAATAACTGCATCCTGGGAGCTTTATTTTTAGGGCTTGTGAGAGGGAACAAGGAGCCTCTGGAGACAGGTGCCTCCTGTGTCCAGGAGTGTCCTGGATGGGGGCCAGCCACACCCCCTGCAGCTCTGAGCTGTGGCCTGGGATGTCCTGCCGGTCAGCCCAAATCTTAGCTGTCCCCATATCCGCCCCTTGGGGGGCATTTCTGATCCAGAGAGAGTCATCATAAGCAGTGAAGGGGTTTGCGGGCGGACTAGCTGTTCAGATGCCCAGGCGGTGTCCCTGGGGCTCCCTGAGTCCCCCTGGCGGCCAGTGTCTGGGCCTCAGCTTCTGAGAGAGGGAGGCAGGTGGCTCCAAGCTGAAGGGGAGCTTGGGCCAGAGATCCAGTACCTGGCCCGTCGCCCTGGCGAGTTGGCATAACATACAAACAGTAGGGCATCTCCAAGGACTTTCCCGAGTCCACACGTTTCCAGGGAGACCAGGTCAGAGAGGGAGAGAATAGACTGGGATCTGGGGAACTTCAGAAATCATTGGCTTGGGCCTGCAAGGCAGATGAATGGATTGATTGACAGGCCGGTGCAGAAGGTGCCATGTAGATATCTTAGTTTCTTGGTGGCATTTGGGCTATGGACTTGGCCTGGATGCCAAGGACTTATTTAGACCTGAGTAGAGAGGCTGGGCTTTCTGCTGCCCAGGGGGTGCTCCCTGGCAAAGGTCTCTGGGACCCTCTCTCCTCAGACCACCCTGATGCCTGTGTCTTCCTCCTCGTCTCCCGTGGTGTGTTCAGCAGTTCAGGCTGCCATAAGCAGACACCACCTATGGTTGCTATAGGCAACATAATTTTTCCTCCCAGTCTGGAGGCTGGAAGTCCAAGATCAGGGTGTCGGCAGGGTTGGTTTCTCCCGAGGTCTCTCTCCTTGGCTTGCCGACAGCCGCCTTCTCTGTGTCCTCACCTGCCTCCTCTGGGCCCACACATCCCTGGTGTCTCTTCCTCTTAAGGACATCGGCCCTATGGGATTAGGGCCCCACCTTTATGACCTCATTTAACCTTAGTTGCCTCTTTACAGACCCTGGCTCCAAAGTCAGTCGCAGTGGAGTTTAAGGCTTCAACACATGGCTTTTGGAGGCACATAACATAGTCTTAGGAGGGGTGCCCTTTCTCCCCACTGCCTGTCAGCCCCACACCATGCTTCCGCCCATCACTCCTTCCCCTTCTAGCGCTGAGAGGTAGCCCCTCCCCAGGCCTAAAGCTGTCCAGGTCTGCTCGGAAACTGCATTCTGGGGCTGGTTGGACCTCAAGGGACAAAAGGATCTGGATGCCGTGAGATTTATTGGGGGGGGGGTGGTCTTAGGTTTTATGTGCCCTGTCGCATGACCCTCCCCTTTGACTGCAGTGTCCTAAACAGGCAGCTCGTTCTGAATCCAAGCGCCGCTGCCAGACTGTCTCTTGCACAGTGAGAACCCCAGTTTTCAGTCCAGAAGGTGCGGTCCCTGTGCAGCCTGTGTTTCCGATCCTCCGATGCGGTTCAGGGATCTGAAGTGGGTGGAGGTGGGGAAGGGAAGCAGCCCGGGCACCTGGAAACCTCCCTGTCAGGTGGTCCCCACGTTGCTGCCTCATGGGTGCCTGTCCTTCCCTGGGGCCGGCCTGGGACTAGCTCCCCTGACTCCGCTGCTCCAGACAAGCCCCCAGGTCGTCCCAGCCTCCGGACAACCTGCAGGGCCCCCTCTGCCCCCCCCCC